CCCACCCATCCACCCATCATCCGTTGTCCCACCTACCCATCCACCCATCATCCATTCTCCCACTCACCCATCCATCCATCATCCTTTCTCCCATCCACCCATCCACCCATCATCCTTTCTCCCATCCACTCATCCACTCATCATCCTTTCTCCCACCCACCCATCCACCCATCATCCTTTCTCCCATCCACCCATCCACCCATCATCCTTTCTCCCATCCACCCATCCACCCATCATCCTTTCTCCCACCCACCCATCCACCCATCATCCATTCTCCCACCCACCCATCCACCCATCATCCATTCTCCCACCCACCCATCCACCCATCATCCTTTCTCCCATCCACCCATCCACCCATCATCCTTTCTCCCATCCACCCATCCACCCATCATCCTTTCTCCCACCCACCCATCCACCCATCATCCATTCTCCCACCCACCCATCCACCCATCATCCATTCTCCCACCCACCCATCCACCCATCATCCTTTCTCCCATCCACCCATCCACCCATCATCCTTTCTCCCATCCACCCATCCACCCATCATCCTTTCTCCCACCCACCCATCCACCCATCATCCTTTCTCCCACCCACCCATCCACCCATCATCCTTTCTCCCACCCACCCATCCACCCATCATCCTTTCTCCCACCCACCCATCCACCCATCATCCTTTCTCCCACCCACCCATCCACCCATCATCCTTTCTCCCACCCACCCATGCACCCATCATCCATTCTCCCACCCACCCATCCACCCATCATCCATTCTCCCATCCACTCATCCACCCATTCACCCATCATCCTTTCTACCACCCACCCATCCACCCATCATCCTTTCTCCCACCCACTCATCCACCCATCATCCATTCTCCCACCCACCCATCCACCCATCATCCTTTCTCCCATCCATCCATCCACCCATCATCCTTTCTCCCATTCATCCATCCATCCATCCACATTTCCATTCCCTCATTAGCATTGCCATCCACCGACCCATCCAGCATTCTTTCCCTTCTTCTTTTCATCCTTCTTTCCATCTACCCACCCACTCAGCTGTCCAGTAAACATTCATTGACTGCTTACTCGTACTAGACATTGGAGATACAGAGTTGGAGAGGAGTTTTTTTCTGTTAAAAGGCTCATACTTGGTGAACACTTAGACATGCAATAAACACAGTCATTAGCACCCGACAGGAGCAGTAGTGGAAGTCTGTACAAGGTACAATGAGGACCAAGAGAGCCAGTCTGTCCTGGGTGGGCTGGAGGAAAACCGTCACAGAGGGGATGACCATGGTACGTAGTTTCTGCCCCTTGCCCCACCTACCCAGTTTCATTTTCTGACCAACAGCAGTTACAGTGGACTTGATGAGCACTCTAGAGCCTGGGTGGAAAGCCTGCATCCCACGGCGGGCCCTCAGGCCCATGCTCCTCCATGCTGCCTTCTGATTCTTATTGCATGAACATTTAAGAAGCTGGGAAAAGCCACAAAGGGGACCCTCTGCAGACGACTGGAGAGAACTTGAATTACCTCATGGATGGTGGATGACACCGTTTTCTGGAGAATAGGCACAAATTCCTCCACGGGAGAGAATGCACTGGGTGCCAGCACCTGATAGAGGCTTAACTTCTTGGCTGGAAAAAGTAAATAGTGGCGTTTGAGGCACTACCTGGGAAGCCCCAAGGCTTCAAGCCTTTAGTTGGTCACCTGTGTCCTGGGTTCTGCCCTCTTTGGGGATTTACCTTTTAGACCATTGACCTTTAGCCATTCTGCAGAGGTCTTGTCCAAATTTGGGAACTCAATGGTGAGAGGAGCTTCATGCTTTGGAGGTTTAGGCAAGAGACTGGTGAGGGACCCTTTTTCAATCTTTGTGGAAATCTAAATTAAATTAGAAAACCCCCATTACATAATCACATGTTAGAGCTGTAAAGTCCTTAATTTCTCCCCGACTACCAGTCCCCCAAGTGGAGCATCTTAAAACATTATCTGGTAGATTAAAGGCAGGTCTGTCATCCCCTCCCACCCACCCCGTCCCCTTCCCTGGAGATTTCTGGGCTTTCCAGGGGAAGAGGGAGGTGGACCTGGCAAGTTGCTTTCTCTAATTTTCACGTCTTCCTGGCCCCTTTCCTGTCCTTACTGTTAAAATCAGCACCACGGACTCCAAGATGACAGGCTGCCCCTCCGTGGGCTCAAAACAAGGCTTCAGGGAACCAGAAAGTAACTCATCCACCAGTCAGTTAGAGAGCCCTGATCTAGCCTAGCCTCCCCTCCCCTGAAAAACTGAGGTTTGGAGATGTTAAATCACACAGCTAGTGTGTAAATAAAACACAAAACAGCAATTCCCAAACTTGAGACATCTAAGCACTATCTTCATGAATTTTGCTATATCCTAGTACTATTGCATTATTATTTTTCTTTTTTTGCAGCTGGCCAGGGTATTATTATTTTTCTAAAAAAAAAAAGTGTATATATATATATATATATATATATAACATGTAACACTAAAGCTTTTTAGTTATTAATTTTATTTAATTTAAAAAATTCACTTCTTTTTGTACTTAATTTTAGGAAGATATCTATTATGACCATAATAGGCTAGTTTTAAGTACACAAAGTTTTTTTTATTTTTTATTTATTTATTTATTTTTTTATTTTGTCAATATACACTGTATATGATTA